TGTAAATGATTGGAAGGGTGGCATCAACATTCATGGGAAACACGTCACTTATCTCGAATCGAATAGGTTACGGGCGAAGCAATATTTTCTGTCGAATGCGACTAAGTATCTTTTGATAAAATCAAACCAACATTCGCGTCCGAACTACGGGCGCTCTGATTCTTCACTTCTTTAAAGTGAAGGTACGTAGGCATAGGATTGCGAGATCCTAACGAGCAACCTCCTCTCTTTTTCTCCCGTAGTTTCACAAACTACAAATGCTCTGATTTTTCACTTCTTTCAAGTGAAGGTACGTAGGCACAAGGGTCCTAATCCTTGGCGAGCACCCTAATAAAAAAACCACTCATTTTCTCCTTAGAAATCTAATCCCATTACCTTACCTATTCAATTTATTTCCTTAGAAGAAAACAAACAACATGACCTAACATTTCTCTCGAATCGAATCAAGAGGTTTCTGTTGAGTACAATGAACGTGAGGGGTGCTAATACCTTCGCCTCATGTAACCGAATCCCGCACCTAGAACTTGGTTGCGATGATCATGTTCTTTCTCTAAAGGTTTTCTCGATATTTCCCTATTCCATCTTGGAATGAATAAAATTCGATGGCGACTCTGTTTTTCGCGGCCATTCGTGAAGGATCGTGCTTTTTTCGAGGTACGACAGCTGAATTAGAAGAATCAACATCGACACATCTTGACCGACTGTCACACCCTAATTTTTTACTCTAAGATCCCACATCTTTTTGCATCATATGTGTTATTTATCATGTCTTGCATCTTGCATAATACACAATTTATTAGGTGAAATAAACTTTTTGGAATTACAGTCGAATCGATCAAACTAAAAGTCAATTGTTCGTAAAATCAGTGGACGAAAATATTTAAAATAGAGCTTACAAACGTCAGTGATATTAATCTATGTTTCATGTAGTTTAACCTGACGTGCTCATTTAAATTTTTCAATCACTTTTCGCTCACATTTTTTGACAGTTTAAGTCATTTTAGTGGGTAAAATTTATTTCAAAATTTGACCAAACGCTGTATTTTTCTAAATCATATATTTTACGCTGATCATTTTGGTGTATTTATTTTATTTTTCTGACCACTTCGATGTCGGTCCAATTATTCGTTTTTTTTACCGTTTTTATTTCTACTTTTAATTAATATATTTTTTAATTAATAAGTTTTATTTATTTTTATTAGTTAATACCTTTTCTTATTTTATACTTAATTTTTTAAATTTCATTTTTTAATTTTAATTTTTAATTTTATTTACTTTTTAGAAACTTGTCAAATAAGTCTCATAAATTATTTACTTTTTAGGAACTTGTTAAATAAATCTCATAAATTATTTACTTTTTTAGAAACTTGTCAAATAAGTCTTGTGGGTAATTTTGCGGGTTCCTATTGAGGATGAGTAAAATTGTCATCCCTACGCGTAAATAAACAGAAGCTTTGAACTGGAAACCTATATTTTTGGAGAGTTTTTTAATGCACCTTATATATTAATTAGGCACCACGTGAAAATACTTAAATGCCACCAGATTTCGAAGATGCATCTCCGGACGTACCCAATTCTAAGTTAAATTTAAAATATTTCGGAGATGTATATTTAAACTTATTTTAGAGATACATCTCTAGAATATATTGGAGCTTAAATCGCGCCAGAACCCTTCTCTTTCCTCATTTCTGAAAAAATTCAAAACCTCTTCAAACTCTCTCAATTTTTTTTCATCACCAAGTCCAAAATAAAACAACCAAACTCAAATGATCATCAATCAACATTAGAAACATCATCCAACACTGAAGCAAAGTAAACAATTGTAAATTTTGTGTAAATGAGTAGAAAAGGATGATTTAGGTATCAAATGAGTAGGAAATGCTAGAATGTTAGTTTATACATGATGTAAAACACGTTTGTTTGTTGAAAATCAGGACCAAACTACTTATTTTGAGGTTTGAATTTTTGCATTGCCTCCATTGATGAACTGAAGAGTTGCAGAAATTTCTAGAGATGCATCTCCAGAATTTTTCAACTTTTGGTTTCATATTACACAAAGATGCATCTATGTAAATTAGCAGTCTGTTTTCTTTTTTTCTTTTTTTGTTTGTAGTGCTGCTTGCTTGCACTAATTGTCTGGTTTACTTTAACTTACAAGCATTATAATTGATAGACACGATAGGCTGAGGCACGAGAGGATTGAATAACATGCATTAGTGTGGCGGAAGAAGAGTCCGGTTTCAGAGGCTACTGTTCACTCTGGCCATGCAGAGACATCTACTTTTGTGGCTGATGCTTCTCCATCTTCTTCTTCTTATAAGAGACGGGTTTCACCTATCGATACATCACTCCCTCCATCACCCCACAGGCGCCATATCTCACCTATTTTGGCGCCAGAGGTACCCAAGTCATTGGTAGTGCCGGATGCACTAGTGGATGGTGCTTCTGAGCTAGTGTCACCTCCTACCGCTGATGTTGTTGAGCCAATGCCACCTTCAGATGGTGAGACTGATGAGGATGCTGAGCCAGAGCCATTTAGAGGAGGTATTGTAGAGTTGTCATTAGTGCCTCTGTACCCAGACCAGACATATCTGGGGCGTAGAGGTAACATTAGTTGGATTCATTCTTTTAATTTATGTTTATTTTAGTTTACAAATTTCTGACATTGATTTATTGGTAAGACCATTATCCGGTGAAGACTATTAACGACAGATGGGAGATTACTTGATTGCCTCAGCCGAATAAGGAGTGGTTTCAAGCAACATTGTCCCTATCTGGGATGAAAAACTTGTGCATGAACGATTATATTATGATTAACCACAAGATACTTAATGCATTTGTGGAGAGATGACACACCGAGACCTCATCATTTCATCTCTCGCTTGGTGAGATGTCTATCACAATCGATGATGTTTCATGTTTGTTATATCTTTCGATCAGGGGGAAGCTTCTATATCATAGGAGGATTAGCAAAGACGAGGCACTCAAGATGATGGTAGACTATCTGGGAGTTGACTTAATGGATGCAATGTCGGAGATGGATAAAACCAAGGGGGCTCATGTTAGGTTTGAATTCTTGAAAAAGGTTTATACAAATGAGCTTCAGAGAATAAAGTAGGCTAGAGGTGATGACGAGTAGGTAAGGCTCCATAGAGTGTATGTTATGAGAGCATACCATTTATATTTATTTGACACTACGATTTTTGTGGCAAGAGTGCCACTTATATAGATGTCGTCTACCTACGGTACTTCGAGGATTTCAAGCGAATCCATGAGTACAATTAAAGGGCCGCTTATCTGGTCCACTTGTACTCGAAGTTATTAGAGGGTTGTATGTGGAAGACGAAGCAGGTCACCGACAACACCACACTACTGACATTAATATTTATTGGTCTTTTAATGTTTATGTGTCATTTTTCATTTCTTCGTTGCAACGCCAATACTAATGATTCGTGTGTTCCAAACTTTTCAGGCTTGGATCCTCCAGCACTTCCCACGCATCTCCAATTAGGCAGGTGTACCAACTTACATCGAGGATATGCCACGTGTTATTTCATTTCCCCGCTCAGAGGGAACTAAGTGATAAATCCGTTCGAAGTGTATCTTCACCGCTTGGTTACCTAGGACATGCACTTCAACAACTATGTCGATCATCGTGAGACGCGACCATTTAACGAGATAGTGCTATACTCGGGATGATTGGCATACAAATCACATCTTACTACTCCTCATCTGCCCGAGTGCGTGATGTAGTAGTTCAACTACACTCAGAGCATTCCTAAACACCTTATTCTTTCTGCTCATCCTGCTTTGACATATAGACAGATTGTTTATATGTTTGATGATTATGAAAGTCATATCGTACCAGAGGAGGCACAAAGTACCTTAATTGAAAGTGACTGGTGCTATGTTGACGGATACATCAGGTGGTTCTTCAGGGTGTCACATTCGTATATGGTGCATGCTGCTCAAGGAGATCCACAAAGGTAAGTTCATCAGGAGATACTAGAGGATGAACATGCATAATTAGATCATGCCGAGGATGTCTTGCCTAAATTTCGTCGCATAGTGGAGATTGCGTAGACAAACATTGATAGAAGTATATTTCCTGATGTGTCTGATGTGAGGCAGGTCCTAGATGCCATCATGACGGAGGCACGGGGCATTGATGTATCGGAGACAACGTTGGAGGATAAGAGGATTAATGGCAGAGGAGGCAGAAGAGATGTAGTCTGACATACACAGTAGTGAAGTAGTATATAGTAGTTGTACTTCAGATTCATTATAAATTGTATTTTATTTTAACCTCATGTTATTTATCGTGTATTTTGAATTTATTTACATATGACATTTTTGGATCATCTGGATTTGTATACGACATTTTTCGCATATCAACTATATAGTTTAAATCTCGTTACATAATATTTATAAATCTTCATCTAAATAAACACAACATAACATACATTATTCTGATATGTTACGGAGATGCATCTTTGTAAAATAACTGGCAATGCATCTTCGGTACAATATGCGTGTCAAATGCCTTTCAAATTTAATGCATGGAGTATGACTTTTAATATATTACGGTGATACATCTTTTAATTACTTAATATTTTAAGATGCGTTTAAAAATACATCTCCGAAATTTAAAACCATTTTAATATTTTTACACGATACTTAAAGTAATATATAAGATGCATTAAAAAATTCTCTATTTTTTAACCTTTTGAGCCGGTACTTGTTAACGGGTCGGTAAAAGCATTAAGAAATCCCTAATTTTGAACCTTTTGAACCAGAGCAGTACCGGGTCGGTGAAAAAATTAATCCGAACCGAGTTTCGTTAAAGTTAATGTAAGTCGTGTTGTTCGGTTTGAGTTTTAACTCGTACATTAAAAATATCCAATTATCTATCTACTTTCTATCTTACACACCACTTTCATTTCCTTCTCACTCCCCATTTTCTCTTCTTCCCCCACAACGTCAAAACAAAAACCTAACCAATGGCTTTTACGGTTTCTCTCGCAGGCCACATCAATGGAGTCACTCAATGCAATAACAACCTCCCACCTTCATCATCTCTATGTAAGTCAATTTAAGTTTCTGTTTTTTTCCTATTCATCCCTCGAGTATATACAGCGATTGAAATTTTCCTTAATTTTTGCACTTTTACTTTGAAGTTTGATGGTTAAAGTTGAAAATAAGTTTAACTTTTGTAACATAGCCAGGAAAATTAAGAGATAAAATATATGGTATGGTGAAATAAAAAGGAAATAATCGTTTTTGTTATTGAATGTTTCAAAAGCATTTTGTATATTCAGAGACTTTGGTGATAATGTCTCATACTTTTACTCGTGTGGATTTGTACATGCTTTGGTTATCAAATTACTTCTTATTGCGCTGTTTTGTTCGTTGTTGGCTTTAATTCTACAGGTAAACTAAGCTCCAGTGTTAATGTAGTTGACATGAGATTAGTATCCCGACGTGGACTACAAAAAGTTGGATCTGGTCGTAAATGTTTCCGAGTCCAAGCCCTTTTTGGAGGAAAAAAAGATAAGGAAGGCCAAGTGAGTTTTCTTTTTCCATCAGTGTTACATATGAGTATTTATCTACACACGCAACATATTTGCATTATGTTATATAGCAGTTACTGAACGCTATTGCATAGCGGAGTTTGAACAAACAAATATTGTTTCGTGACACGCTATTTATAAGGTTCCTAATTAGGACATGTATCCATGATATTTATCAATGCAGTGTTGTTAAATAGCTGGTATAGCAACGCTATGCCACCATTAAATATCTGGGTTTTGAGCAACCGCGACGAAAGGCGATACACTATTGCGATTTCGCTACCACTGCCATAGTGGTGGCTTTTTGCATATCGGTGATAGCGGTTATGGTGGTGTACATAGCGGAAGTTATTGTTTTTTATTCTTTTTACCTTAATAATAACATTAAAAATATCATGTGAGATAAGGTCTTATATAACCCCTAAACCCCACAACATAGGTAACCTCTCATCTATTCCCCTTCACCTATCATCCCTAATTTGATTTCTTTTTTCTCTGTTTTATTTTCTGCTGTTTTATTTCATCTATTCCTCATTTTTTCCTCAAAAAATTTCCTTTCTATTATATTCCCTTTCCCTGGTAATTTAACTTCTTTGCGGCTTCTGATATTTGCCTGCTACACTATCCGCTATTTCTTATATCGGATTTTGGAGATCCGCTATTGTCCGTAATCCGCTATTTGCCTGCTAACTATCTGCTATTTCTTATTTTGGCGACCTGCCATTTTCCGCCATCCTCTATTAATAACACTGAATCCATGACAGACCTTCTATCCTTCACTGCCTTATATGCCAAAGCGAAGAAAATCATTTTTATATTTGGATAATTTATTCTTCACTGGTCTACAATAGCTCATGCCTCTCTGAGTTGGATAATTTATGATAAGAAAGTCCAATGCAAAAAAATAATTTTTATATTTGCGAAGATGTTCGTGATTCACTCAATTGCACATGATCATGTAGCGGCACATGAAAAGAATGCTAGTTAAATGCCATGTTAATGTTTTACTTGGAAGTAGATTGATTGGTAACTGGTATTGTTGTTCATAAGTTTTGTTCTTCACCATTTCATTATTATACAAGGTAATGATTAATGGCATGAATAATTACCATACAACTATTTAGCAATGTTATTGAATATCAGCCATGGCGGATATCTGTGGTGGTTTATGGATTTGGTGCAATGGTTAATATCAGCCGATATTGCAGTTTTTTCTGCCATAATCCGCGGTGACGCGGGATTTTGGCTCTCCGCCATGGATCGCCATCAGCAACGCTGCTGTTTAGCAGCTTTATCGGACATGTAAACTTCTTGGTTGTCAAGTTCAGGAGGAGATAGGAAGATCGTAAAACATAAGATTGCAACTAAGATCGGAAGATCCTACTCAATTATTTTTTTAAGATCGAAAGGGGGTAACAAGATTGGAAAACAAATTGTACCGAAAATTGTAAGATACTAATAAAAACGAAAAGTATACAATACCTTTTCAAAGCTTTCAAATTAAAAATCATGACACTATGACAGTATTATGTTATGTGTTTGTCAATCTGACACTAACTTGTCTTAATATTTGTATTAATTTGCTGGTCTGTGCATTGAATGAATATAGGCAGGAATGCCCGGAAACATGCTAAATCTGTTTGAGGCTGTGAAGAAGGCGCAATCGGTTGTCCAAGTTGAATCAAGCCGAATACAGAAAGAACTTGCAGAGTATAACATACTTACATACTTGCTTAACAGTTATTGCATTAATTTTTTTTTCCTTTCCCAGTTTTACAAGTTATTCACGATAGAGTTTTTGTCTTTGTTTAACTATGCAGAGCAGAGTTTGATGGCTACTGTGAGGGTGAGTTAATAAAGGTATGACATTTTATTACCCTTCTCTCGGTTTCACTTTCATTTGTTAACTTGATTCTGATTAAAATTATCTTTCAGGTGACACTATCAGGCAATCAACAACCAGTTCGAACACAAATCACCGAGGCTGCTATGGAATTGGGATCCGAAGTGAGTATGCAACATTTAAGTGATCTCATAACTTCATATTACATACATATCCATGATTCTTAATATGTCTGTTGCAGAAAGTTTCACTTTTAGTCACAGAGGCTTACAAGGATGCACACCAGAAGAGTGTCCAGGTGAAACTAAGATTTCAATAGTAAGAATGAAAATTCATCTGCACTTGTTGATGCTATTTGTTTAAACGCGGTATTGGTTATGTTTTCAGGCCATGAAGGAAAGGATGAGTGGTATTGCACAGAGCTTAGGAATGCCACCGGGTTTCGGTGACATGTTGAAATGATGACAGTGAAGAAGAATGGAACATCAATTTTGCATAGAAAACCATTTCATGAATTCATGTTTTCTCTCCTTTACTGTCATTATGGATTTATCGATCTCGTTATTCAGTTGTGTAGGGATGACTTGAAATGATACTTTTTCTAATGGAAGCTTTAATAAGTAGTACAAGCTTTCAAATTGTAATATTGAGGAATGGTTTTTTATATATTTATTTATCAAATTTGCAGTATTGTCATTTTTTATTATGAGCATATTTTTGTTTCTGCTGTCTTTTTACAAGTTAATGTTATTAGAATGATGTTAGTATGGATGCGTTTGGGTGACTTTACACTAAAGTTACAATCATGCCTTTCTCCTCGCCACAAAGTTATCCGATTCATTCCCTTTTTGAGCTTAAAAGTATTTTTAAATTAAATTTATAAAAAAAGATTAAATTGAAGAGTTCAGTGTAAATTTTAGAGAGAAATTATTTAATGAGAATATACAATATATTAAAGAAGTTAATTTAATCTTTTTTTAATTTAAAAATACTATATTAAGTGTCTTATCTTTTTTATGACAATCAGCTATTGCTACTCATGAAAAAGATTTCATTTATGTTTTATTATTTATCACAACCAAAATTTAATATACTAAATTAATGATGAATATTTTTTTGTAACAATAATAATTATTAATACATTTAATAAAAAAAAAGAAAAATAATAAAAAGGGGATATTAGGAAATGTTAGGCGTTTTTTTTTTTTAAGTAGAAAATGTTAGGCTTTTTATAAAACTTTTAAATTAAAAATGTTAATTAACGTGTAATAATTTTTTTTTAAAGTTTATTCGTGATTTTATCGGAGCAGAAAGAGATCAACAGTTAGCAACAGAGAAGAGAAGATGATGTACCTGCAAGACACTCCGATGATAAAGTAAATTTCAGCGGGAGAGAGAAAACAAGTACAGAAAAATGTAGAAAGTTAAAATACTTGACCCTATTGTGAAAGAGGATATTTATAATGTGCTCCCAGCGATGAGCCAACGGTTATCTGCACTGGGTTGGATCATTAGGTCCAATGCGGATAATTGTTAGGATCTACATGACGTAGAAAATATCATCACGTGGTCTTCATCTTGATCCAACTGTCCCGTAAATTTTGGAAGGTGGAGGACCTGTTCTCTCGGACGCGGATAGTTGACTGATGACGTGTCCCCGCGTGAGGAGCACATGTAAACCGTGGGGAAGGCGTGTGAGCGCTTCCCGTGTAAGTTGATGAATTGAGCCTTCATTAGAGTCCTCTCCGACGAGGAGTTGGGTTGAGCCGTGCCCGACAGTAGGTCAACCTCTAGCATAGTCCAGAACAATATGTATCTTGTATTTAGAATTAAAATACAGGGTTAAATATACAACATTCCTGCAATGTAGGCGAGTTTTGATTTACTCTGTAAATTTTTTTTTGAAACTCTTTGAAATGTTAAAATATATGTCTTTTGTCCTTTAAATATCAAAGTTATTCTAATATGTATATTTTTAATTTATTTCAAATTCAATTTTCAAATTGTAAGTTTAAGGGGTAAAATAAAATAAAATATTATAGTAGAGAAATTTAATTTTTTTTATAAGAAATAAATCAAAACTTGTCTATATTGCAGATGTATTGTATATTTAATTCTAAAATATAAAAATAAAAACTGAAAATTTTAATTTATTTATAGAAAATAAACTAAAAGCACCTAATAAAAAATATTATAAACTATTTTTATAATATCTCAATTACAAATAGTTTTAGAGAACTTATACTAATAGATAAATTCAATAAGTTCAAATAAGAAATATAAATAAATTTTTAATAAATTAATTTTATTACTCTTTTAGTTAAATTGTTTATTTATGTGTCACTATAAAATTAGTTAACAAATATTTAAAAAGGTTTAATTCAAATTTGAAAATAAAATTATAATAAATTATATACTAGATTTAATCTTTGGTTTTTTAGTAAGACATATTTAATCTTAATATTTTAGTCTATTCTCACTCTTAATAATAACGTGAAATTCGAATAACAAAACATAAACTAAGTTTAATCACTATAGTTTAAAAAACTTATTTTAAAAATTTCTTAAATTTTTTTATATTTTAATATAACAATTTTTTTTAAATTTTATTTAACACGACTTCTATGTTTGAAAAAATGAAAAGCTTCTCAGAACTAGATCAAAGCAAGCTTATAGCAAATAGAGTAAGTTAACATTAAAAAAAGTTGTTAATAAAAAATACTAATAAAAATAGTATAACATCCAATTATTATTTTTGACTAGAAAGAATAAAAATATTTAAAGTAGATAAGACCATTGAATTTGATACTATTATTTAAAATAAATATTTTTTCTTACCAAGTATGAATTTCCTAATTAGTATTCTTACCTATTTACTTATAAATAAATATTGAGCAATACACAGTTTCCTAATTAGAAATGATTTTCATTTTGGGTTAAATAGAAGTGATCAAATTTGTTTAGTCAAAAAAAGAAAAGATTAAATTTGTTTTAAGAAAACAAAAAAATCAGCTATCTTTATTTTTCAGAACGAAATTTCTGAGTAAAAACTAAAATAAAAACAGATTCTATATTTTAGCCTTTTTAACGGAAGAGTGACTAACATTCTAACGGCGTCGTATTAAAGTCTCCTAGTCAACTACGGCGTACACGTTTAAAAGTTAAACCGTTCTTAAAATATAACACATGTCATCTTATAAATAGATCATTCTGATTTTGTTATTTTCTTGTTTTCCACCGCTAACCAAATCTGAATCCAAAACTAAATAAAAACTTCAAATTCATTCGTAATTCATAATTTTCATTTTATTTTTATTTATTTTTCTCTGCTCAAATCGCACAAAACCCAGGTACGCGATTTTTCATTCCCAACAATACCTATACTATACCCTAATTCTTGATTCATCAGATTAATCTAATTTCAAATTAATCAATTAATTATAATCTGAATAAATTCGTGAATTGATTATTTCAATTGTTTAATTCAATCTAGGTATCATATTGAAGATGTTAGAGCAGTTACTGATTTTCACAAGAGGAGGTTTAATTCTCTGGTCATGCAAAGAATTAGGTAACGCTTTGAAGGGTTCACCGATCGATACATTGATTCGATCATGTCTTCTCGAGGAGCGATCCGGTGCGGCTTCGTACAACTACGATGCACCTGGAGCTTCCTATTCGCTGAAATGGATCTTCCACAACGATCTCGGTTTGGTTTTCGTTGCGGTTTATCAGCGGATTCTGCATCTGTTGTATGTTGATGATTTGTTAGCTGCTGTTAAGCGGGAATTCTCGCAGGTTTATGATCCTTCGCGAATGGTGTATCGGGATTTTGATGAGGTTTTTAAGCAGCTTAAGATTGAAGCTGAGGCGCGGGCGGAGGATTTGAAGAAATCGAATCCGGTGGTTGTGAATGGGAATAGGAAGAATCAGGTTACCTGGAAGGGAGATGGATCTGAAGGGAAGAAGAATGGCGGTGGTGGAGGAGGAGGTGGTGGTGGTGGTTTGAAAAATGATGGTGATGGGAAAAATGGGATTAAATCTGAGAGTGACCGTGATCGTGACCGTTTTGTTGTTGCTAATGGTAATAATAATAACGGTTCTAACTTGAAGAGTAATGGTGGTAATGTTAGTGTAAATGGTAAAGATAATGATAGTTTGAATAATGGAGCTTTTGATGTAAATAGGCTTCAGAAGAAGGTTAGGAACAAAGGTGGGAATGGAAAGAAAACAGACAGTGTTGTATCCAAGGCTGAGCCGAAAAAATTGGTTAAGAAAAATAGGGTTTGGGATGATAAACCCAAGGAAACGAAATTGGATTTTACCGATCATGTGGATGTTGATCGGGATGCGGATTTGGATAGGAAAGTTGATTATTTGGCTAAGGAACAAGGAGAGAGTATGATGGATAAAGATGAGATTCTTAGTAGTGACAGTGAGGATGAAGAGGAGGATGGTGATGATTCTGGGAAGAATAGCAACAAGCCTGATGCTAAAAAGAAGGGTTGGTTTTCATCTATGTTTCAGAGGTAAAAATATTGTTGAACTAGATTTGTTTGTTTTTATTTATTTATTTTATTTTATTTATTGTTTAGTTTGTTTGTCTCACTGGTTTCATTCAGATTTATCTTATGCAGATTACCTCGAATAATGGGGTTGATGTTTTGTGGCTCAAATTATGAAAATTGATGTATAGCTGTGAATTGGATCATGTTAAGTTATTGTTGTCTGTTTCATTGTTTCTAATCCGTGAGACTTCGATTGTTCTAATTGTAATGATTTACTGCAATTTGATGGTAGTATAAGGAATATCATAGTAAGCTTCATTGGATTAAAACCTTTATTGATATTTCCTTTTGCATGAAGCCTATACCATCAGTAATTCAGGCATTATCGAGGTGTTAAGCTTATTTAACATGTTATACTATTGTTTGACGATTAGGAAAGGTAAATCGGGGGTTTATATGGATGTGAGAAAGGATAAAGGAATCAATAATTAAATTGTTATTCTTGGTCATAAATGTGTTTTCTCGTACATGTTGCTTTGATTTCTGATGTCATGTTTCGAATTGCTTTTGTCGGTATCTGCCGGAGTGAGGTTTATTTTGTTATATAGATTCAATTAACCTACCCGCTACATTGATTGGCTAATTTTATAACTTCACTTTGAAACTACAGTTTCTACTTCATTTCAATTTCCTGCATTTCACTGAAATGAATACTAATAATGTTTATTTACATGCTTGTGCTCAGTATTGCTGGGAAGGCCAATTTGGAGAAATCGGACTTGGAACCAGCTTTGAAAGCTCTGAAGGATAGACTCATGACCAAGAATGTGGTATGTATTTATCCTCAACAACATTAAAAGTGGTGGCTTCAATATCTAAAATTTTGTCCCTTGGCTACTTTTTGCTCTTATCATCTAGCTAATATTTTTTGTATTCTGTATCACTTGTAGGCTGAAGAAATAGCTGAGAAGCTATGTGAATCAGTGGCAGCAAGTCTTGAAGGCAAAAAACTGGCTTCATTTACAAGGATATCTTCGACAGTGCATGTGTGTTTCTATCTTTTTCCCCATTGACATTTGAAGCTGGTTTTTTCTTTATTTACAATTTCATATCATTTGCACTTATTCTATGTTTCAAAAAATAACGCAGACTGCAATGGAAGAAGCACTTGTTCGTATTTTAACTCCCAGGCGTTCTATTGACATATTGAGGGATGTCCATGCTGCCAAAGAGCAAAGGAAACCATATGTTGTTGTATTTGTTGGAGTTAATGGAGTTGGAAAATCTACTAATCTTGCTAAGGTGAAGTAAATCTACATAATATTTCTCCTATTTATATATGATTCCATATGTTGGGCTTGTTTTTGACTGGGAGGAGATATTCAATTTTATGTATAACTGTGCAGGTTGCTTACTGGCTTCAGCAACACAATGTTAATGTCATGATGGCTGCTTGTGATACATTTCGATCAGGAGCTGTTGAGCAGCTGCGGACTCATGCTCGTAGACTTCAGGTTTACATTGATTTTAGTATTTAAAGATTAATACATTGATTTTAGTGCTTAAAGATTAATACATCTATAATTTCACCTTTCAGATCCCTATATTTGAGAAGGGTTATGAAAAAGATCCTGCTGTTGTGGCAAAAGAAGCAATTCAGGAAGCTTCTCGTAATGGTTCGGATGTGGTTCTAGTTGATACAGCTGGTCGTATGCAGGTAATTATTGCCGTTGTTGTTGTAGTGAGAGTTTATTGATTTTATGAGTGTGTACAATATACCAAGTGACTTCTGTATTTGAGATCTCAGTTTGTAGGCCTTTAGCCTTAAGAGAGATTACTGAAAATAAACATTGCATTTATTTTATGTAAAACTAACAGAGTAAAATCGTCATGGTTGAATGGTTTTGACGATATTTAGTTACCATTGACGATGTTTATTTAGATGCATTTATGTATTCCTCAGTTCATCTTGTCACTGCTGGTTTTCAGGATAATGAACCATTGATGAGAGCACTGTCAAAGCTGATCTACCTTAACAATCCCGACCTGGTCTTATTTGTTGGAGAAGCACTGGTTGGCAATGATGCAGTTGATCAACTTTCAAAGTTCAACCAGGTCCGGTTCTATATTTTTACTAGTATTCTTGTCCAACTACAATTGGGTTTTCGGTTCAGTTTTCCCTATATGTCATTTATTGAACCATCTATTTTGTTACAGAAACTGGCTGACCTCGCCTCATCTCCTACACCCAGATTGATTGATGGGATCTTGCTCACAAAGTTTGACACTATTGATGATAAGGTAAGCAAGTTCTGAAATTGCTAGTAAATTATCCCCAAGCATTTGGGTCTCCTTGTTACACATTTATTAAATTTAATGAATCTCCATATAATGATTTATTAGTAAATAAATATAATATAAATGACGAGTAGAATTAAGAACTGCACTTTGTTTCGAACAGTAGAGGATCTTGAAATGGTATGCTAATTATGTTTTTGTTTTGTCAGGTGGGAGCTGCACTTTCAATGGTTTACATATCCGGAGCTCCAGTCATGTTTGTGGGATGCGGACAGTCTTATACCGACCTCAAGAAACTCAACGTCAAGTCCATTGTGAAGACGCTCCTCAAATAAGGAACAAGCTATTTTATTTTCGGTTGCCAGACTCTTCTCTTCACCTGTGACCTGTCATGAAAGTTCAGTTTGCAGTTATCTTGATGATCCTTGTTAATCTTATTACTCTGTAGGCCAAACTATGCGGCTATGACTTTGGATGCACTTTGGTTTGTTTATTTTGGAAACTTTTCGTCCTTCCTTTATCTATTTTGGAAAACTTATACTGTATGTTCCTATCTAAAAATGTTATATTTGGTAGATTGCTTCACAAATAAAAAGGTTAAAAATAATGTTGGGATTTGTAATTTAACTTACTATGTATTTCTTAAACTCTAATTTCCTTAGAGTTTTGTTGAAAAAGAATAACTAAGTTGTGATTTTGAGAAAAAGATCAACTTATTTCAAAAATGTTAGTGTTCTGTTGTAAATTTAGAGATCACGTGGGTGAGTAATATGCTAACTAGTTAATATGCTATGAAAAATAAATGTTAACAAAGACTTACTTCTTTTTTCTGTTGGTGGACTGGTGTCCTGTATTTGTTCTCATTAGCAGCATGTCTCATGCTGTTGGTTTGTTGGTTTGCGTTGTTAATAAATTTTTGCTTTTTCAAAACAAAAAAAAAAATGTTAACAAATGCATACTTGATCTCATCGTTACTTGAAAACTTATCAACTTGAAAACCAAGCCTTTGGATATATCAACAATAAGCTAGCCCTTCAACCTTGGAATCCTAGACTTGGCTATAAGAGAAACAGGATGATTAAAAAAAACAATCAACATAATCTCTCAACGTTAATTGATCAAATGCTTAATGACTGGTTTAGGTTAGAATATAAAGTTCCAATTCCATAAAAAAAATTACGGTTTAAGATGTGTTTGACTCTCGAGTGAAAAATTGATTCGGATTGAATTGATTTTGACTAAAAATGAATTGAAGATAAATTGATTTATGTTTGAATAATTTTTTTTTGTCAAAAGTGAGTTGATTAGTAAATTTTAATGTAAAAATTACGGTTAGACTAAAAAATAAAAAAATTCCAATTTCAAATAGAATCAATTCTAAAATACAGAGTCAATTCTATTTAAAAACAATCAAAATCAACTCAACATATTCTGAATAAATTATAAATTCTTTATGTTGTGATATAATCCAAATTAATTAGTTATTTGGTTAACAAGTTAGTTTGTTATAATAGTTACATGAGATACAAATAACCTGCTTGTATATACACATATATAATGTAATTCAGTTTAATCAATAATAATTAATACAATTACTCTCTCTCTCTCTCTCCTCTCTCTCTCTCTCTCTCTCTCCTCTCTCTCTCTCTCTCTCTCTCTCTCTCTCTCTCTCTCTCTCTCTCTCTCTCTCTCTCTCTCTCTCTCTCTCTCTCTCTCTCTCTCTCTCTCTCTCTCTCTCTCTCTCTCTCTCTCTCTCTCTCTCTCTCTCTCTCTCTCTCTCATCTCTCTCTCTCTCTCTCTCTCTCTCTCTCTCTCTCTCTCCACCCAAATCGCTTCCACACTAACAAATTAGTATCTAAAGCTTCTGGTTCATTCTTCTTGATCAGAAATTCAAGAACTGTGCGTCAGTGGTCGTGTTTTCAAGGATTTGTGAATCGAATTTATTGGAAAGATGAATGGTATCAATGGTATTTTCAATTCTTGATAGCAAAAATTGGATCCGATGGAGAAAACAGATGGAATCATTGGTTGGTTTCAAGAAATCCTAGAATTTGTTTCTAATGATATAACACCCCAAATTCTTGGAATATTTATTTAATTTATTTAAATATGAATATTCACTTTTTTTGGTGATTTTTGGTGGTTAGTGTGAATATTGAAAATTATGAATTGTGAGTTATTTATTTAAATAATAGTATATAATATGAATATATTGGTATTATTATTAATTTAAATAAATATAAGTGAATTAAGGGCAAAGTGGACATTTGAGGAAGAGTTAGTGAGGGTGAAGTTGAAAAGTCCAATTTTAAGGCCCAAAGTTAGATTTAACAAAAAGAAATTTTGAGAGAATTAGCATTCATTCTTGTTAGACTGTGAAAAGGGAAGAAATAGAGGACAGAGCTCTGAGGAAGAGGATTGAGGCAAAAACTTCACAAGGTTTCCAAGAATCAAGAAGAAACGCTTAGAGTCGGCAATTAAGGTATGAGGAGTATTGCCTTCATTGTTTTCAATATGTGATTCAATGTATTTAAAGCTGATTTAAGGGTTTAGAGATTTTGGGTATTGAATTGTTGTTGCTTTTCTGATGGTGAGTTCAATGAGTTTGAGGGATTTGAACTGATGGTCTGATAGGTTTGAGGCTGATTTGAGAGTAAGGGAAATTAGGCCTTCGTGGCCAAAACTTGTTATTGAGGTTTTAACCGTATAGGGTAATTGGGATAATTGTATTGTGAGAACTCTAATGATTGTGGGGTAGTTGTAAGAAATTATGGGAATTAGAGGCGTAAATATGATACGGGATTAGCCTAATAAGTCGTAGATTTTGTGCCTTTATCGCCGTAATACCTTATGAATGATTAGGGATGTTTTGGGGCATTGGGGAAGGAAATCGTAGAGGTTTTTGATCTGGTTTTGGTGCTGGTGCGTAACAGCGAATTGCTGTAATCGCGAGTTCGCATAGCGAAGAATGCTTCGCACGACGAACATTCGCCCCAGACTCGCACAACGAACTTGCTAGCGAATGTAGCAGAGTTTCGCAAATTCTAATCTTGTGCAGTGATGTCTTGATGTTTTGATGCTGTGATTTCTTTGATGAATTATCATGAGTATGACTATGATTCCTATGGGATTATTACACGATTCTATGATGATTCCTATGATTAATTGTGATGATTTATGATGTTGATTTCATGAGTTTTGATGAATTTATGATGACATGATTATTATGATGACTTTGATGAATGATGATGCACCTAATGAGATTATTACGAGCATGATATTGACGTGTGTATTATGCATTCATATGCATTCAGACTTTGGTTCAGGACCTTGATTTTTGTGGCTTCAATCCCATTGTGCGGATGTGAGGTATTTTGTTGTGCTCCGGTTCTCGTGTAGAATCGATCCTACTGTTGTGGATCTATGGAGGATTGATGGCCCAGTGTCCATCAAATTTTGTTGATTGGTACCACATGCATGAGTCTTGTTGCATTTGCATTTCTGTGACATTTGGTGAAATTTATAATGTTGTGGCCTTTGATGTTCCTTGATAATTCTGATGATGTTAGATATAAAAATGACGCCATTTTATATATTGATTCCTATGAATCGTTTTACTCACCCTGTCTGTTTGAATGTTGCCTCCACGTGGGTAATGTGCAGATGACCATGTTTAGCCGTGGATACCGTTGAGGACTTTTTGAAGTTTTTGGATCGTTAACCATTGTGGTTGACTTAGAGGGTCTTGCTCTGATAGTGTAACATCGAGTTGAGGTCTTTGAGTCAAACTATATTTTATTAATTTTTGTTATGCTGATTTCCTTGCGGCGCAAGGAAAACTTTGGATTATTACCTTTTTGAGTTCCGCTGCCTTTTGAGTAATATTTTGAGTAATTTTGGGAAAACCCGTTGTTTACGGAGCATTGACTATATTTGAATTATTGAGAAATGTGCGCCCTTTTGAGATGATTTTATTGCGTTCAATATTTTACTCTGATAAATATGATTGATTTGCCTTAATATTTGTGGGGTAGAAAATGGTGTTACATTAGTGGTATCAGAGCCTGGTTGGTCCGTCCGGCCAAGTTTTTATGTTGTTAATCCCTTGTCAGTCAATAGTGTGAGAACACTATTGGATGAGTTGTTTTCTTCTAACCCTGTTGGTGGTTGCAGATGACTGGAAGAAATGATCGTGCTATTGCTGATGCGCTAGAATCGCTTGCCCAAGTGATGGCCTAGAATGGTTGACCTCCAGATGAGTTTCGTGCTTTGGGGAAGTTCCAGAGGAACAATCTGCCGACTTTTGTGGGCACTCATGATCCTGATGGTGCACAGAAGTGGCTGAGAGTGATTGAGAATATTTTCTGGGTTATGCGTGCACTGATGTTCAACAGGTGCGGTTTGGTACACATATGCTAGCAGAGGAAGTTGAGGACTGGTGGGATAACACTCGTCAGAGATTGGGAGGTGTTGGCATTGCAATAACTTGAACTATGTTTAAAGAAGAATTTTTTGAGGAAGTATTTTCCAAAAGATGTTTGGGGCAAGAAAGAGGTGGAATTCCTTGAGCTGAAGCAAGGGGATATGACTGTGGCTGAGTATGCGGTAAAGTTTGAGGCTTTAGTGAAGTTTTGTCCGCATTACAATCGTGTTGAGGCAGAGATGTCGAAGTGTCTCAAGTTCGAGAATGGATTGAGACCAGAGATTAAATAGGGAATTGTGTACCAACAAATTCGTAGGTTTGCGGAACTGGTGGACAAGATTAGAATTTATGATGAGGATAGCCGAACTCGATTTCTCACTACAAGCAGCTAAGTGAGAAGAAAGAGAAAGGACAATATAGAGGGAAACTGTACGTGACTTCTGGTGATAAAGGGAAGCAAAAGACTTCAGATGGGAAAAAGTTAAGTGGGGGAGAGTCTACTTCTCCAAACAAGTGTTATAAGTATGGCGAGGAAGGTCACCGTGCGGAGGTTTGTAAGGTGTTGAGATGTCATCGTTATGGCAAGAGAGGTTATAGAATTATTGACTGCAAAGATGAAGCTCTGACTTGCTTCAATTGTGGAGAGAAGGGTCATATCAGTACGCAGTGCCAACAGCCGAAGAAGACTGCTACTGCTGCTCAGACGAACGACAGAGTGTTTGCTTTGAGCAGTGCAGAAGAACCCTAGACGAATAACTTGATCAGAGGTACTTATTTTATTAATGCTGCTGAATTGATTTCTATAATTGATACTGGTGCTACCCATTCGTTTATTTTGCTTGAATCTGCTGTGAGATTGAATTTGAAATTATCTTCTATGGTTGGGAGTATGGTTATCGATACCCCGACTAA